CGCGGCTCCAGCCATCTAAGGCTAGCCCAAATGCGTCAGGCAGCGTAGCAGCAACAGTTTCACGCACATGCAAATACACCAGGTCTAGATACTTTTGCAGCGTCTCAGCAGAAATAGGGTCCATCTTCACATTTTTGCGAACAAGTGGGCGCTCGCAAAAACTGACGGGCATGCGCTCCATTACGCACCACTCAATCCATCGAAAAATGTCGTTGGTGCGCTGGTCTGGAAGAGTCACACCAAACCGATTGCCCTTGCGAAATGCAGCCACGGCCAAGTCGTGATAGTCGGGGTGGTGCTTGAGCAAATGATGCACCTGATTGGTGTAGCCATTGCCGCTCTTGTACACCTTGCTACAGGTGTTGCACCGAGATTGACTCGGAGATAAGTCGGTGAAGAGCAGGGAGCAGAGGTCCTTGTTGGTGAACTTCATGGGAGCTGAGACGACAGGGAAGTGGCTGGGTTCAGAGCTTACAGAATAAGTTTGAAAGTGAGGTACTGGGGTGTCATGAGGATCAAAGGCTATTCTCAACCATTCTTTTAAAGTACTAGCTGCAAACGATTTAGGTAGCAATAACTTGGATTAAGTATACCAGTTGCAAGTAGGGAAATCACTTAGTTAAAATATACCAATTTCAAGCTGGTGAATCACTTGGCTAAAATATACTATAATATGGGTAAAACATGTTAAAATATAGTGATGACCTTTCAATACTAATTGCATTATCAATATGATAATGTATTAAAAATTATATGCTATCTTCGGCAGCCCTGTGTATAGCCGTAACACAACGGGAAAAAAACGTAAATATTCCTTGTGTCGGCGAGGGTCGACGTCAAACCCAATCACCCTGGGAATGTTGCATGGAAGAGTGCGGGCTACACTAAATTGACCGAAATATGATTGGGATAAGGGATACCCCTTCTAGACCCAGAAATTGGGTTATCCTTTGCTGCTACACCAACTCACTGATGCTCCTCCAGCAACTACATTACCGCTCGATACGGCAGCGCGTGCCACAACGGCCCTGGTTGAGCCAACCAAACACCACGATAGCTGATGCTGTGGCCGCGAAGCAGCCACAGGAGATGTGTTGAGACGACGACTATCCAACTATAACTAAGTTAACCTTAAAAATAGATGATTTTTGTCTTTCAGCTTTTTTTTAACACTGCTACTGCGAAAAACAGACGGTTATAAAGCTTGATTCAAACTTTAAAATCAAGAACTTCGCTGTGCTAGCGACGGCATTAGTGGAACTATCTCAATCCACTCTCTGCTGCCCAAAAGTAAAGAAAATCCAAGCGAATAAAACCCTAAGGGTAGCACCTAATCATTCTTTTCTTTTGGTCTAAAATTTGCTCTTTAGGCGCAGAAGTGGGACGGAAGTGTTTTTGGAGCTAGATGCATTTTTTATCGAGTTGCCCGTGATCTCCCGTATATATATATGATCAACGGAAACTATACGGCTCAGCCCTTGATGGGGATGTCTAGCAGAACTGGCGCATGCCGTGGTTTTGAGAGAAGCGTGGAGATTGCGGCGTTGACAAACGCAGTTTGACTAAGACGACCTGCTCCGTCAGCATCGTGGGTATACCCGAAGGCATGAAATCATGGCTGGATTCGAGACATAGTCTCATTCAACAATGCTTCACTTCCCCCATGCTGTCCCGTAAAAGTCGTGTCCAAGATGCCGCGTGGTGGTCCATGAGCGACTAAGATGTCCACATCACCTGGGACTTTGCTCCAATACTCATGATCTTTCGCACCACGAGAAACATTAAACGCTCCAACCAGGGCTGCCGAAGATAGCATATAATTTTTAATACATTATCATATTGATAATGCAATTAGTATTGAAAGGTCATCACTATATTTTAACATGTTTTACCCATATTATAGTATATTTTAGCCAAGTGATTCACCAGCTTGAAATTGGTATATTTTAACTAAGTGATTTCCCTACTTGCAACTGGTATACTTAATCCAAGTTATTGCTACCTAAATCGTTTGCAGCTAGTACTTTAAAAGAATGGTTGAGAATAGCCTTTGATCCTCATGACACCCCAGTACCTCACTTTCAAACTTATTCTGTAAGCTCTGAACCCAGCCACTTCCCTGTCGTCTCAGCTCCCATGAAGTTCACCAACAAGGACCTCTGCTCCCTGCTCTTCACCGACTTATCTCCGAGTCAATCTCGGTGCAACACCTGTAGCAAGGTGTACAAGAGCGGCAATGGCTACACCAATCAGGTGCATCATTTGCTCAAGCACCACCCCGACTATCACGACTTGGCCGTGGCTGCATTTCGCAAGGGCAATCGGTTTGGTGTGACTCTTCCAGACCAGCGCACCAACGACATTTTTCGATGGATTGAGTGGTGCGTAATGGAGCGCATGCCCGTCAGTTTTTGCGAGCGCCCACTTGTTCGCAAAAATGTGAAGATGGACCCTATTTCTGCTGAGACGCTGCAAAAGTATCTAGACCTGGTGTATTTGCATGTGCGTGAAACTGTTGCTGCTACGCTGCCTGACGCATTTGGGCTAGCCTTAGATGGCTGGAGCCGCGGTGGACGCCATTTCATGACAATAATGGCTGTCTTTGATGATGCCTCTGTTGACCAGCCAAGCCAACGAAACCCCAATTATGATGAAAATAGCCAGTGTCTTAGTCGGCGCTACGTGCTACTCGCTTTTTGCCCGCTGGGCGACGAAGAAGACTTGGGTGCACAGAGTCTTTTTGATCTCATTGCGGACACGCTTTCCACCTACAACAAGCCCTGGGAGAGCGTGCTCTTCATGATTGGTGATAATTGCTCTGTCAACCAGGCGATTGGTCGAAAAATTGGCGCTCTGCCATTTATTGGCTGCGCAAGTCACCGGTTCCAATTGGCTGTTAAGGACTTTCTGGCGGAGGAGGAGGTCCTACTGGCTAAAATACATGCCCTAATGAAGCATCTCAGCACTATCAAGTGTCGCGCGGCACTCCGAAAGGTGACGCCGTTGGCCCCCGTGCTACGTAATGCCACCCGCTGGTCCAGCACGTTCAACATGGTTGAACGCTACGTCAAGTTGCATCCAGCCCTTCTTTCCATGGACCACGCCACCATAGCCAAGCATGACATCGTTAGCTTTTTGTTGGATGAAGATGAATCATCACGCGCCAAGTCGCTACTCGAGTCTCTCATGGACCTAAACGA